AGAAGACAAGGTGAGCGCTACCATCAGTCCTGTGTCATGCCAACAGTAAAGCATCCTGAGACCATTCATGTGTGGGGTTGCTTCTCAGCCAAGGGAGTGGGCTCACTCACAATTTTGCTTAAGAACACAGCCATGAATAAAGAATGGTACCAACACATCCTCCGAGAGCAACTTCTCCCAACCATCCAAGAACAGTTTGGTGATGACCAATGCCCTTTCCAGCATGATGGAGCCTGGCTTGGGGAACAAAACATCGACATTTTGGGTCCATGGCCAGGAAACTCCCCAGACCTTAATCCCATTGAGAACTTGTGGTCGATCCTCAAGAGGCGGGTGGACAAACAAAAACCCACAAATTCTGACAAACTCCAAGCATTGATTATGCAAGAATGGGCTGCCATCAGTCAGGATGTGGCCCAGAAGTTAATTGACAGCATGCCAGGGCGGATTGCAGAGGTCTTGAAAAAGAACGGTCAACACTCGGGAGATGGAAATCTTTCTGATTGAGAGGGGGTCAAATACTTAATTCCCTCATTAAAATGCTAATCAATTTATAACATTTTTGACATGCGTTTTCTGGATTTTTTTGTTGTTATTCTGTCTCTCACTGTTCAACTAAACCTACCATTACAATTATAGACTGATCATGTCTTTGTCAGTGGGCAAACGTACAAAATCAGCAGGGGATCAAATACTTTTTTTCCCTTACTGTAACTCTTTATCCACAATATAGCAGGGGGTGTAAAGCCATAACACATACGTTTTTCCATCAGCAGACTATGATAGATAATGTCAAAAGCCGCATTGAAGTCTAACAAAACAGTCTACTATAGTTCCCTGTTGCAAACAGGATGCATGTTTTGTAATATTTTTATTCTGTACAGGCTTCCTTCTTTTCAATCTGTCAATTAGGTTAGTATTGTGGAGTAACTACTAGTATTGTGGAGCCATCCTTAGTTTTCTCCTATCACAGCCATTAAACTCTGTAACTGTTTTAAAGTCACCATTGGCCTCATGGTGAAATCCCTGAGCGGTTTCCTTCCTCTTCGGCAACTGAGTTAGGAAGGACGCCTGTATCTTTGTAGTGATTGGGTGTTTTGATACACCATCCAAAGTGTAATTAATAACTTCACCATGCTCAAAGGGATATTCAATGTATTTTTTATCTACCAATAGGTGCCCTTGGAAAACCTCCCTGGTCTTTGTGGTTAAATCTGTTTGAAATTCACCTCCCTGGTCTTTGTGGTTGCTCGACTGAGGGACCTTACAAATAATTATATGTGTGGGGTACAGAGATGAGTCATTAAAATATAATGTTAAACACTATTATCCATGCAACTTATTATGTGACTTGTTAAGCACATTTTACACCTGAACTTATTTAGGTTTGCCATAACAAAGGGGTTTAATACTTATTGTAATTATAAAAATGTCAGCTTTTCATTTTTTATTAATTTGTAAAAATGTATAAAAACATAATTCCACTTTGACATTATGGGGTATTATTGTGTGTAGGCCAGTGACAAAAAATCTCAATGTAATAAATGTTAAATTCAGGCTGTAACACAACAAAATGTGGTAAAAGTCAAGGGGTTTGAATACTTTCTGAACATACTGTAGTTCTAATTGTACCCAATGACAATTACATTTTGTGTGATTATGAAAGATCTTGAGGATTTCAGAAATGTATCAAGTGTTGTGCTATGTTGGATAGATGTCGAAAGAGGTTACAGAAGACGGAAATGAATTCAACCTACTATAGTTCTGCTTGGTGCCAAAAATGAACAGGACAACAGTGCTACAAGAACCAGAGCCCTGCCTAACCTAAGTACAGGGGGTCCCTAATGTAAACAGGATATCCTTCCTTCATTGGAAAAGCCTATAAGACTGTCCTTCAGATCTTAGAATATTTGCATGAAAATCTGTCACCAATTGGATGGAAAACGGGTTTATGGTTTTGGATTGAATACTGGTTTCGGACAATCCATCATGAAGACATATATACACAAAAAATACAGTGACATATAGGTGAGCAGTTGATGTATGTTTTTATTATCAATGCATCCCTTTAATAAGATTTATTCTAATGGCCCATATAATGCCAAAAACATACAGTGTTCTGTATAAGGGAAACCACAAATTGGGCAAAAAAACAGTCTTATATACAGCTTCTTGAAAATGTTTTCTCTTGAGGAAAGATATAAATAACATTTATCTTTGTCTCTCTGTTCCTAAACGGTCCAGGTACATAATAAAGGATTTGTTTACAGATCCCCATACAGTGCTTTAGAGAAGCTCAGAATAAGTCCACTTACAACACTAAGAATAAGAAGGGGCACATTTTTTCAAATGACTTAAAATGCACACAGAAGTTAAATACGTAAGGTATTACTTCCTGTTGTTCCAATTGCTTGAGAACAATTCCCACTAGTTATGTCAGTTTGGCTTTTTGGTCCCCAACAGAAAGTAGTACAATTATGTTCCCAAATAATTTACCTTATTCCATATCTATCTGAAACATAAGTATAATGTTAAAACCTGCTATGAAATGTAACGTTTTACCACTGTTTAGAATGTGCAGTTAGTTGAAAAGGTGAGCTTAGAATGCAAATGTAAAAAAGAAAGTTCTATGAAGGAATAGTGGAATCTGCAATATTAAAATATCCCCATTTCTTTTTCATTTAGATTAGTGATCAAACATGCACATTGTGGACTGCAACTATAGAATTCTCCGCTTGCAGAGGACTTATGTTTTCAACATGATGCATTTATACAGAGGAATGTTGATTGCTGAGTGCAATTAAAGTGCACCCCAATCCTCTTGTCACCAGTCCATTTCTCTAACCACTTCATAACTTAACTAACCAAGGCCATTATCAACAGTAGGACTAAACATTTCCATTGTGTCATAACAATCATAAGTGCATGTTGTTGTTGAATGATTCAGCATAAACAGTGCAGCAATAGAAGTATCATTGTCAGTCAAAGTGAATAATGTTCTCACGGCAGGTTGGAAATGAACACAATGGTAACCACCACTTCCTTAAAACAGTTACTAAAGAACACATCAACAGCTAATTCCCCAAACCAGCCAAGCTACACATCAGCACTCTAAAACCAGGCAGGTGCTTTTGGCAGGCTCTTCTCTCTACAATAGATAGACATAGGTAGATAGTGGCCTTAACATTGGTTGCTTATTATTTTCACAACCTATTTATCAATTAATTCAGCTATAATTAGGGCCAGAATTATTTACTTCTAATATAAATTAGAAGTTATAAAATAATTTCTCATTGCATGTCAGAGCATACCAAAAAATAAGGCAATGTTATTTCAGCTGCCTAAACAAAATGTTAACAAAAGCTGAAAAAGTACAACATTAAACCCCATTACTCATCATCTTGCATAGCAAAAAACATCAGTACAATCCCATATTGAAATGTTTTAAGACTTTTAAGCCATCATTTTACAAACATGTAGCTAGATTTCTGGATAACGACCGGAAGTGGCTGTCATTGGAAGAGTTTTCAAATGAAATGAGTGTTCTTATTGCACATGTTCAGGCAGCCACTGCTCTCCACTTTAAAATGTTTGCTCCAGTTTAATTATTCGCCAGTTTTACCAGAATGAGGACAGGCAGACAGCGTATCCAAAGGATGCTGTCTAAGGAATGGCAACTGACAGAGGAATGGCAACTGACTTCTGCCCAATACTGAAGCAGCAATTCTCCTTGGCCATCAAGTAGTGACTGTTTTCATGGACCATGTTCTGGGGAATTCCATGGCAGAAAAAGGAGCAGAGAAGCATGTCCTAACATGAATACATAAACACTACCATACAGTCACATACAGTATGTGTATTCTTTCACCTTGACGAGCACCAAATCTATTGTTCTAACCCTGTGCTTTTACTTTAGGGTTTAAATAGCTAGGTAATAAACAAAACAATAATACATGCAGCCGTAGTTTCAAACATCAGTTCAATAACTGACCGTTAATAACTCCTCTGTACTGAAACACACAGACCGATGTTCAATGGCAATCATTTGGTAGATTTCACTCCTACATGTAGTTGTTCGGTTCTTGGCATAAATGCTTAAAAACACAGACAAAATAAAACATAACAACAAAACAAAATCCAGCAAGGCGCAAGGAGGAACATTTCCTCTTTAGCACATGTCAACAAACAGGCAACAACCAAACTGCATCAGTGACTGATGATCGTCTGGTCTACCTGTATCTACCGTTACTGAATAGAGCAATACCAAAAGCCTTTTCATCACTATTCTCCTTCACTGTTCTTTGTTCAGGTGCAATGAATAGACATATGGATATTCACAATGTCATGGTCCTCTCTCCAGACACAGAGAGGTTTTAGTGTTATGCAGAGGAACCCTCCTCTTCAGTGTTTTAGTCAAAGTCAGTGGATCCACTTTGGGAGAAGCTGAGCTAAAAACAACATGCTAAGTTATTTCATATAAGTGGTTGGGATGCAGTCATATACTTAGAAAAAATGAGGAAACCCTCAGAAATGATGGACCGTTTTACATTATTGTATTATGCCATTTGGATTTGATTGTGGTCCATGTTCAGTTGGTGATGAATTTCCCAATATGAGCTCGGTTAAAAAACGCTCACAGCTGGCTGTTATCATTTTATCAGATTAAACATGTATATCTGTTCATCCTGTGTTATCCATCCGTCATATCTTAAAGTCAATAGGAAGAACATATTTCTTCACTCCGCCATATCTTCTCTAATTTGTGTCCAAATGCTAGGAGGACATACAGTGCACTCTGGTATGGAGAAATAAGGGAGGATGTGGGGGTGGAAGGTGACTCAAGGGTCAGTGGTTCAGTGGTTAGGGTTGACTCACAAGTCAGGGGTAGGTGTTGTCTGATGTTCAGGGGTTGCGATTCGGGAAAAGGGTTGACTGGAAGATCAGTAGTGGTGACTCAGGGTTTGACTGGCTACGAGAGGGAAGGGAAGACAGAGGAGAACTCAAGGCTCAGTGGGAGGGTCGGCCGGTCCATTCTTTGGCGGCATAGAGAGGATGCTCTCTGCCTCTTCGTACATCTGAGGAAGAGACACAGAGGTCAATAGAAGCCAGCCAGCATTTATTGTTATGAATGTGGGCATGTGTGTGTTTGTTTACCGGGATAAATGGCACGTCCTGGAAGAGCTCCTGGATGAAGCGCCGTGCGGACAGACGGAACATGCAGTGGGCCAGCAGGTAAGATACCTCAGAGTAGAGACAAATGTCGTCGAATGCATAGGGGAACTTCTCCTTGATCCTGTCAAGACAACACACACAGGGATATCAACCTCGGTTTGAGTGTGTGTGTGTGTATAGTGAAAGGAATGTGTGTGTGTGTGTGTCTTACGTTAGCAGGTTAGTCTCGTGGCCTTTGGTCCCCACAGAGGAGCTGAGGTTGACCACCAGACGCAGGACCTCCTTCCTGAGGAGAACCCTGCCGGCCGGAGCATCCTCTCGGATGGACTTCACTCCTGAGGGGGGAGAGAAACCACAGGTATCCAGGAGGGTTAGGCCATTCCGCCTCAACAACAAAATAACCCTTCGCTTGGAGAAAAGCATTGTATGAGAGAAAATATATATTTTTAAAAATTTACCCAAAACCAGTTCAGTGCTGCGGGTGCTTCCTGGGGAGCCATGGGACACAGCATCACTGCACCCAGACACCCCTGACAGTTTGTTTTGGGCCATGACCTCCAGGTGGTTCTGCACAGGTGGACTGCACCACTCTGAGAAAGGTTGGTCCTCCGTCAAGTCTGAGGGAGAAAGGTGAATTAAATTAAGTTGTTTATTGGTCGCAGACTGCTAATATAATATGGAAAAAGAATACAAGGAAGCAAGAACATGAATTGATAAACAGCACAATGTTCTATTTTGTAAATGTTTTATATATATATATATATATATACACTGAACAAAAATATAAATGCAACATGCAATAATTTCAAAGATTTTACTGAGTTACAGTTCATATAAGGAAATCAGTCAATTGAAATAAGTTTATTAGGCCCTCATCTATGGATTTCACATGACTGGGAACACAGATATACATCTGTTGGTCACAGATACCCCCCAAAAAAATGAGCCTCACAATGGGCCTCAGGATCTCGTCACGGTATCGCTGTGCATTCAAATTGCCATCGATAAAATGCAATTGTGTTCGTTGTCAGTAGCTTATACCTGCCCATACCATAACCCCACCGCCACCATGGGGCACTCTGTTCACAATGTTGACATCAGCGAACTGCTCACCCACATGTCACCATACACGTGGTCTGCGGTTGTGAGGCCTGGTTGGACGTACTGTCAAATTCTCTAAAACGACGTTGGAGGCGGCTTATGGTAGAGAAATGAACATTACATTCTCTGGCAACAGCTCTGGTGGACATTCCTGCAGTAAGCATGCCAAGTGCATCTGTGGCATTGTGTTGTGTGACAAAACTGCACATTTTAGAGTGGCCTTGTATAGTCCTCAGCACAAAGGGCACCTGTGTAATGATCATGCTGTTTAATCAGCTTCTTGATATGCCACACCTGTGAGGTGGATGGATTATCTTGGCAAAGGAGAAATGCTCATTAACAGGGATGTAAACACATTTGAGAGAATTAAGCTTTTTGGCGTACAGAAAATTTCTGGGATCTTTTATTTCAGCTCATGAAACATGTGACCAAGACTTTACACGTTTATATTTTTGTTCAATATAAATCTTTTTTTGAAATATAATGCATCTGCCACTGACCTGGGTGGCTGTTGGAAGCGCTGAAGCCGAGCACAGTCAGCCCAGTGCAGTAAAGGCAGTTATCATCGTTGTGTTCCTGTAGACCAGTCTCCTCTGAGACCAGCAGCTGCTGCTGCTCCGCCCGGCTCACCCCCATCAGCTCTGTTATACTCAGCTGGGAGCGAAGCACAGCATGCCGGGAGTGAGGGCTGGGGCCTGGGGGAAGGAGCACATATCCACACATGATATACATTTCTCCCTTTTTATTCAAGCCTGTTGGTCCTGAGTGGGCCTCCTTTATCTCAAGCAGAGCCATGATTCCCTCTGTGCTAAACTCAGTGCTATACAACTCCTTACTGAAGAAAATAGATTGTGTTGACCCTGGGCTGTTTCTTACCATCTGAGTCTCCAGAGAAGAATTTGGCAGATCTGTCCTCAGAGGGCGGGCTGGTCCTCTTCTGGAAATATGGTGTTTCTTTTATCTAAGAAACAAATGATAACATTACAGTAAGTAACTCTTTATCCAAATATTATGGTGGAGTTAGGACTTAAATAGATAAAACAACCTCCATTTCTTTGGTCAAATATCTAGAATAGAAGTTCAATTGATAGATGAGGGGGCAGAGTGGGATGAGATGGGGAGTGGAGTGGGACAGAGGGTTCAGTGCATCTGGGTTCAGAGAGAGGGGTCACACGATGGTCACTACCTGGAACATGTTGTTGATGTCCACGGGCAGCGCCAGGCCGATGAAGTCATCAGAGCTGCCGTAGGTGGCGCTGGACACCATGGATCTCACTGAGGAGGACCGCTGCAGAGTGCTCTGGCTGATGGGGCTCAGCAGATCCTCCTTATCCAGAGAGGCAAAACTCAGAGCCTTCAGGAACCTAGAGATTGAGAGAGAGAGAGAGAGATATGCAGTGAGTTACGAGGCAGGACAGGTAGTATGATGGGGTGGGGAGAAAGAGAGATCAAGACTGAGTAAAAGAGAGACAAGGAAGAGTGTACTTCTAGAACAATGCAAACATTAGGTACGTTTGACTTGACTTTCTACACACAATCAGCAGTTGGTTGCCTCAGTCAGGGACATGGGTCAGGAAAAAAGGAGGGCTAGACTTCCCACACCGCAACATAGATTAACATTTAGGATGGAGGTACAGTGGAGTCACGTCTACTCAAATGACCAAAGCAGGGCTCAGAAGGGGCTAGGGTTACAACATTTCTGTAACTTTCCCAAAATTCACAGGTTTTCCAGAAATCCCGGTTGGAGGATTCTCGGGATTACTGGAAAACCTGTGAATTTTGGGAAAGTTACTGGAATTTTGCTACCCTAGAAGGGGCACAATATAGTTGGTGCCAAGGGTGGACGTGGGGGACAGGGTGTTGCAACTTAGCGCCTCTATGGTGTCAAATCAGGACCATCCAATAAAGGAGGGGGGGAGGGGGGCCTGTTAAGATGTCTGTCCACCAACCGTGGGAGGAGGGCTCCAACAGGCCTGCGACTGGACCCAGCTGGCCCACCGTCACCCAAACAGCCAAACCTTTTTACTGAACACCTACTGAAAAAGGGACCATCAGAAACAGCACACATACAGCGTATTACTCCCATTGGGGGAGGGGGAGGGCTGCTGAGGGCTGAAGAGACACTACTTCCCTGAAGAGCTGCCATCAGATACTGTTGTTTAAGAACATGATTCCAGGAATTGGATCAGTCTACTGAGACCGTGGGCGTGTTGCAATGTTTACAGTGGAATGACTCCTCCTTTTGGTTTCAACAAAGTTCCTGGTACTTTTAACACATAATATTTCAGCAGATTCCTGAAGTAAACCCTCATTGCAACTTTAATTCAAGCCAGAGCAGGTCAAACTCTGTTTATCTTGTCAAGAGGGAGGCGGGAGTACACCGAGAAGTAGTATTAGTCATGGGAAATTCTAGAGAGTGTGTGTGTGTGTGTGTGTGGACAAGTCGAAGGGGACTGAGTGAGTGGAAGCATATGCTAGAATGTGTGTGTGTATTTATGTGTATGTGCGTGTCTGTGTTACCTCCGTGGGGTGAGTCTGGAGTCCAGGCTGCCAGTCTTCATGGTGATTGTATCAGTGAAGAGCACGTCTTTGGCTGGGGAGGCCAGCGCCTCGCTGTGGGACAGGGACGAGTGGATCCTCTGCTGCTGCAGCCTCTTCAGCGTAGCATAGCCCAGCGCATCACGCTGACTGGCGTACGTGTCACGAGAACTTGCGTACTTCAGCGTGGCGTAGCCCAGCGCGTCCCGGGAGTTGGAGTACATGAGGCTGCAGTCTGTCAGGCCGCTCAGGGTGGTCAACGAGGGCGACTTGAGGGACTGGGCACGGCGGGGGAGGGTGTGGGAGGTGCCGGGGGGCACCAGGGAGGCAGAGCTGGACTTGGACAGGGAGGAGAGGTGGGCGGTGTGGGGCTGGGGGGTGTGGGAGGTCAGGGTCTGGATGGTCTGGGCGCTGACCACACTGTTAAGGCTGACACCGTCTGTGTCGATGGTGGAGGGCAGGGTCTCCCTGGAGGGGCTGGAGCTCATAGAGCTGATGCCGCTGGTGGTCGTGTCCGTGTTGAAGCTCTGACTGCGCGATTTAAACGGAGCCCCCCCGCCCCCTCCAGACGGGCCATCCCCGGCCAGGCGCTCCCGGCTAGCCTGCTCTCTCTGGTTCTCACCAACCCCTGACCCTCCTACCCCCACTGACCGGCCTGGCAGCCTCCCCTCCCCCTCCCCCTCCCCAATGCTGGGGGTGCTGCCCCGGTTCTCAGAGGCCTTGCTGCCCACAAAGGAAGTTTCTAGGTTGACAGAGGGACTTTTGGGCAGATGGACATCATTATAGATTGGGAAGACATCTGAAGATCCAAAGGTGTAGCTGGGCTCGGTGACGGTGCGTTTGCGCCCCTGTTCCTCCTCCACCCCTCCTCCGCGGCCCTTGGGGTCGCTGTTGCTGCGGAGCTTCTTCCCGGAGAGCGACAGGGAATGGAGGAGGCGGTTACGGAAGCGGCTGGAGGCCAGGAGGGTGAAGGGGCTGCGGTCTTTGTACTTGGGTCTCATGTACATGGGAGGATCGTCCGACAGGTCACAGTTCTCCAGTCTCTCATCGTCCATAATGTACATACCTGGAAGTGACCATTCACGGTTAATACTTGGTAGTATGGGGTAAACATTTGGAGATACTGTACCGGTAAAAATCAATTCCAACCAGTTGTACAATGATGACAAGAGACTGAAACTGGGCTGAGACTTACTGGGCTGCGTGGAGTCACTCTCGCTGTTGTGCATGGAGCTGGTGGAGTCAGAGGCCAGGCTGAGGCTGGAGGGGACAGAGGACAGTAGGCTGGGGGGGTTGGGGTGGGGCTCCATGTCATCAGGGACAACGGGCCACAGCGTCCGGTGGCTGTGTCTCACAGCATCCCAGCCGTGCTGCTTCAGCATGTCACAGCCCTGACGCGTCTTCGAGATCAGCCCCAACACGTACAGACACGTCCTACACAGAGACAGACATTACAGAGAGGTCCTGGACAGAGATCTAGTATTCTTATGGGACAGCACAAGCATGTTGCTTCACTAGAAGCACCTTCAATATGAGCGTTTCAAATATGAATGTGTCTTACCCCCTGATGGAGAGGACCTCACAGTGCAGGGCCAGAACCACTATGTCAGGGATCACCCCCTCCTCCTGTAGGAGGTTTAACCCCCAGTTTGACGACCCTATGTTACCCTGGAAACAAACAGTTTAAAAAACATTAATATTCATGTTATTATGAAAATGATTTAATGGGTGAATCATGTCAATAATCGGCACATAATTGTGGAACTCTTCTGATTAGAATAGATGTGGCAGTTAGTCATTCTCAATTATACTGACCAAGGCCCAAAGTGCTGCCTTAAGCTGTTTAATGCCATCCCACTTGTCCAGCATTGGGGAGCGAACAGTGTAGCTTAGGTCAGGAACCACATTCTAAAGAGATAGAGAAAATAAGAAACAAAAAGAGTATAAAACACATTATGCCTGTAGGCCTAATTGCTACTTGATCAGTGTAATAGTGGGTGGTTCAAGAAGCTGCAGTTACCTGGACTTCCAGTAGATGGCAGCCTGTCTTGTCATGGACAAGCTGGCCATACAGATGCACAGGAAGATAAACATTTGGCCTCTGTAACCTTTGGTTGCTTCGACGTACATAGTTGTCTCCATCGACAGGTTTACGGTATGTGGTGAGAGCTTCGTTCAGCTGCTCCTCTATCATGTCCACATACTTCAGGTTATACTCCTACAAAACATACAATGATATAAAAACGCTACCAGTTTTCGATGTCTCATGTGTCAGCCAAAAGATGCAAACCATAATTTATGACATTGTTTGGTTGAGTATGAATGTACCTTCTGCCATTTCTCTAGCTGCTTGGTGACGTAGCCCCTCTCATTGAGGTAGGAGAAGCCCTTTGGAATGGACAAGAACCTGGAGATAAGAATCACAGAGGTTAGAGACAAAGGGACCTAATACAGACCGCAAACAATAGCTGAGTTTTCTCCCAGCAGCTTACCGTAGCAGCAGCAGGACCCCCTTGTCCCCCAGGTGAGTGAGAGCTGGCTTCATCTGGATCAGAGCATGGAGATTTGCCTGTATGAAAAAAACACCACAGAGACAAGTCAGCTAATACACTACTGGAGTCAAAAACTGCTTGATTAAACTAAATGACAGACGGTAAGGTACAGCAGTGACCAGGGAACACATAGCAAGACACCACAACAGAATCTCAGGCCCCTCATTCCTCGCCTTGTCCTCGCAGGCCTCATCCAGTATGTCCAGCGCCTCCATGGAGATAGTCTTGTTGCGGTCGTGGAGCTGGGTGACCAGGAGCTCGATGCCCCAATTACTGAAGAACTCCACATTGGCACGCAGCAGCACCCGCAGGTGTTTAGTGGCATACAACCTGCAGTTCTGTGGTACACAAACAGAGGGCAGAAGAGGACAGGCTATAGACAAAAGACAGTACAGTATGAAGATAGGCTAAAACTGCTTCTATCGAAATCCCGGATCACACTTGTAGGCGATGTCATGGCGTCGTTGGCTAGCTAAGCTCATGCGTAGAAACACGTCATTTGGCTCCAACGGTCGTCTCGCACCGAACTGTGCATGTGCAGGCACTCCTTCGATATAAAATAGTTTTTGACGAAAATTAAAACGTGTCAGTTTGTCACTTTCACGAGGTTGGAGTAATAACAAGTTAAACTACTTAAGACATTGGCTCGAATCTAGTTTGTGTCTTTAGATTGAGGTTTAACCATGTTTCACTTCTCTCATTGACTTCTCAAACCCATAAACCCCGGCCTGGTCTGTTTGGTCTGTTTCACAAGTGTTCCCGAAAGTCTTGTGATGTTGGTATAGAGTTACTGTCATTCTAAAACCCTAACACATGCTCCATTTAAAGCACAACAAACCAAATTGCACATAACATAAAAATACAGGTAGTTGCTTTCCAAACACTTGTGCAAGCTCCTCTTCCTCCGCCTCTATGAAACCACGATTGATCAATTCCTGTGTGAATTACATCTGTACGTTCTTTCAGTGTAAATGGTGGTGTTCCTACATCAGTGGCAGCGGTCAGAATCTTGGACAGGATGACCCTGGACAGCCCGTCACGGCTGTAGTCCAGTGTGGACACAGTGAGCTTCAGCAGGTGGTCCTGATTCTTCAGCGTACATATGTTCAATAGGCTAGTAGGAGAGCACAGGATAAAGAAAGTCAATGTACTGCTCAAGTACCATATACACTCCAACACAATGATTTGTCAGAGGACAAAGGGAAAAAGGAAATTCTCTCTGCAGTAGCTTAAAAATGCATTAGGCACCTCTAAATGGGCCAGTTCAAGGTATTAGGTATCTCCCAAGAACAAAAAAGGAAGAAACTTGTTTGAAAAAACAGATTAATGGATGTTGAGAGACTGACCACTGGAAGACACTGCACTTCTCCAGCATCTTGACGCCGTGTGGGTGTGAGGAAAGAGTGCCTAGGAACAGGAAGTAGTGCTGGCTGAGGGTGGTGAGCAGCCCGTTGCTCTGGAGACTGCGGTCGGGCTTGAGCCCTGAAGAAGAGGAGAGCCACTGGACTATGTCCTTCACCAGGTCCTCCAGGTACACCTGCCCATCCTGACACACAGAGAGGTAATGTTGAGGTAATGTTGGACATGGTGAGAGAGGTCAATGTAAGGTCATGTAATTCAATATTTGATTATCAAAAGAGTTTACAATTAGAAGTTGTTTAACGTTATGGATTGTTCATTAATAGGCCTGCATAGTGAAATTCTCTACTGCTGTGTGTAAATATCAGTAGTCTATTAGAGTTTTGCCTCATCGTAAACCCTCTCACCTCGTCAGACTCCAGGAGGAACTCAATGAACTGGCATCCCACCACAGTGAGCTGCCTGGCTTTGCTGTGGTCCAGCTCCAGGCTGGCATACAGCTTACTGCTGGGCTTATAAAAGAACAGCAGTCTGCGCACAAACCTGCAAAAATAGAACCCAGGGTCAGACAGAGAGGGAGAACCCAGGGTCAGACAGAGAGGGAGAACCCAGGGTCAGACAGAGAGGGAGAACCCAGGGTCAGACAGAGAGAGAGAACCCAGGGTCAGACAGAGAGAGAGAACCCAGGGTCAGACAGAGAGAGAGAACCCAGGGTCAGACAGAGAGAGAGAACCCAGGGTCAGACAGAGAGAGAGAACCCAGGGTCAGACAGAGAGTGAGAACCCAGGGCCAGACAGAGAGAGAGAACCCAGGGTCAGACAGAGAGAGAGAACCCAGAGTCAGACAGAGAGGGAGAACCCAGGGTCAGACAGAGAGGGAGAACCCAGGGTCAGACAGAGAGAGAGAACCCAGGGTCAGACAGAGAGAGAGAACCCAGGGTCAGACAGAGAGAGAGAACCCAGGGTCAGACAGAGAGAGAGAACCCAGGGTCAGACAGAGAGAGAACCCAGGGTCAGACAGAGAGAGAGAACCCAGGGTCAGACAGAGAGAGAGAACCCAGGGTCAGACAGAGAGAGAGAACCCAGGGTCAGACAGAGAGAGAGAACCCAGGGTCAGACAGAGAGAGAGAACCCAGGGTCAGACAGAGAGAGAGAACCCAGGGTCAGACAGAGAGAGAGAACCCAGAGTCAGACAGAGAGAGAGAACCCAGGGTCAGACAGAGAGAGAGAACCCAGGGTCAGACAGAGAGAGAGAACCCAGGGTCAGACAGAGAGAGAGAACCCAGGGTCAGACAGAGAGAGAGAACCCAGGGTCAGACAGAGAGAGAGAACCCAGGGTCAGACAGAGAGAGAGAACCCAGGGTCAGACAGAGAGAGAGAACCCAGGGTCAGACAGAGAGAGAGAACCCAGGGTCAGACAGAGAGAGAGAACCCAGGGTCAGACAGAGAGAGAGAACCCAGGGTCAGACAGAGAGAGAGAACCCAGGGTCAGACAGACAGAGAACCCAGGGTCAGACAGACAGAGAACCCAGGGTCAGACAGAGAGAGAGAACCCAGGGTCAGACAGACAGAAAACCCAGGGTCAGACAGACAGAAAACCCAGGGTCAGACAGACAGAAAACCCAGGGTCAGACAGACAGAAAACCCAGGGTCAGACAGACAGAGAACCCAGGGTCAGACAGACAGAGAACCCAGGGTCAGACAGACAGAGAACCCAGGGTCAGACAGACAGAAAACCCAGGGTCAGACAGACAGAGAACCCAGGGCCAGACAGACAGAAAACCCAGGGTCAGACAGACAGAAAACCCAGGGTCAGACAGACAGAGAACCCAGGGACAGAGAGGAAAGGCAACAAAAGAGGATCAAATACCACTAGCATATTCGCTTCATGTTACCTTTGGTTTGGTGATAGAAGTGGTTGTAATGTTACTAACTTGTGAATTTGTTCATCTTTATTGCTCCGCAGGTTAACGTTGGGCCACTACAGATGGGGAAAAAGGAAACATTAAAAAAAACTTAAATTGAACAAGAGACAGTACTGAAAAAGAGACTGACTGTAATAAGTTTGTATTTACTGCAGTCCTGCTCCACTCACCTTCAGTATTGTTGCGATGAGAACCCAGTTCCAGTCCAGGTTCTCTTTGTGGTTCAGGATGTGGCTGTCTCTCAGGTTCATCATGAGAGCATCCTCAGTGTCCTGCAATGCAAACAAGGACAGCATTTCAAATAGAACTACAACAAATCCGAGAAGCTTTTGTTGCACAGGGACATGGTTTGAAATGTACCTTAATGACAAAGATATCTCTCTGTGGTCTAAAGTGCTGGTCTCTACAGTAGTGTGAAGCCTTTGATTTGCGGATGATGTGGTCCAGGTACAGGCTGTTGGGTTTGGGCGCTCTTTTCTTCTTCTCGTGGAAGCGCTTCAGGTAGTTGACCGCTGCACTCGCCCGTCTGAAAAATGATGACAATAGCTGTCGTGTCAGTGTTAATAATACAAAATCCAAACTCTCTTGTAGCACATACATTGTTTAATGACGATTAGGGTAGAGAGTTTCATGTAACTATAGTCATAGTCATACAGTCTTTTCTCCTGTCTGCTACAGAGTAAATTCCTCACAATGGTCCCTGTCTATAGTGAACCCAAGTAACTTCCTCAGCGCTCTATGGTAAGTAGTTGTCACTCACAGTCTCTTCTCCTGAGCGATGTCGAAGGAGGCTGCCTTGTTGATGAGTGTGGGCAGACAGTGCAGGTGGTGGCTGTGGGAGTGTGGCAGGATGGTGTTGGCCTGGGGTGGGAACAAAAATAAACAGTTACAACAACAACCATGAAAAACTAATTACAAACTTTACCAAAACAACTCATTACAAATAATTTGTGTGAAAAACTCCTAGAGCATATCCTCTGGTCCAGTTCATTGACCTCACATAATGTTAACAGCAGAGAGAGCATTGACTTGAGTTACCATGTGAAGCAGTTCTCCCAGTAGAAGGGTGGCTCGCACAGAATTGTTGTCATCAGTGCTTGTGATAACCTCAATCAGACCCTGTTGAGAGGTACTCAAGCTTTACATGAAAGGCAATAGTGGTTTGTGTGTGTTATCTTTAGGTAGTAACATTGACAGATATCTAACAGCACTATTTGGTTGAATATACACAAACGCATTGATCCTCTGATATTGATGACCATACCTCAAGAAGTCCACTCTTGATGAAGGCAGACAGTACCAAAGCCAGGTAGTTATCCATTAGGTCAGGCCTGAGGGGGCAGACAGAGAACACTGAGTTTATGCAGAGAATGTTTTACTCAATCATGAGTAAAGGAGAGTTGAAATTCAGTGATTGTTCTTACCTTGACCGAGCTCGATGTGGAAGGATACATTTAGCTTCAGAAGCCACAAAGCCATCTGATAACCTCCAACTGTCTTGGAACCTACTGGGGTCTATAGGGGGAATATAGAGACAAGTATACAATGTGACATAATAATATATGGTACATGAGATATATGATAAGGTGGTTAGAGGTTATTAACTTGAATAGACACACAAAAAGTGACATTGTACCCACCCACACTGATAAGTGCTTCAATAAAGTCTGCAGTCGCAACAGGCATGGGGAGCCGGAAGATATCATACATCACCTCTAACAAGCCTTTCTGTGGGAGATTGAGCGTAACCAGTTTTACTTACACACACAGTCTAATAGAGACTCCATTATTCCCTAATGAAAAATGTATAACATTTTGATGAGAAGTGGGAAAATAATTATATTTTTCGGGGTGTGCTCTACATTATTCTTACATTAAACTGAGTGACATTGTTATCTGTGTTATTGAGCACAACCATAGAGCAATCTCGATGTAAACTTGAGGACACTGCATTCCTTTTGACCTCAGTTGTCGCGTGCTGATAGTGTCCATTCGATGCTATGCTTACCCTTACTTCCACATTTGGTATACAGAGCAGGCCAATAAGAGACTGGATTCCAGAGTTGCCTGACTTGCACAGGTTAATGATGCCTGGAGTGAGATTGAGACGGAAATACAGAGAGTAGGGTCAGGTAAGGACATGTTCAGACCACATCACTAATAGCATATCAAAGCTATCAGGGTATATAGACACTCAAACTCAAATATTATTGAATATGAAGGAGTAATGTTTACCTGACCAGGAGCGAAAGGAAGCAACTATGGACATCTTACTGGCCAGGAATCGAGCTTCCCTGTCTTCCCTGGGGTTGACATCAAAATGCACGATTAACATCCCCAAAATAATTGATACAGTAAATACAACACTCCATTTTATTTGATATATATATATATATATATATATATATATATATATATATACACACACAGCTGTGGAAAAAATTGAGACCACTGCAAATTTTTCTTAAATCAGCATCTCTACATGTATGACAGCCATTACATTCCAGTGTATGTTCAATTTCAACACAGGCACACCTCATTCTACTGAATTAGGTACTCATTAGGTGATCACATGAACCAAATCTTATTTAACGAGGAAAAGTATAAAAACCACTGCTGTGGTGATCACTATCCTCTTGCAATAGGACCAGCTGAATGGCAAAAACAGTGCTAATAGTACCTCAAAAGTAATATTAATAAAAAAATAACTATTGACCATGCCAAAAGAGTTGAAAAGGAACGTTTTGAGTGAGGAAAAGAAGGGGTCAATTCTGTCTTTACTGGCAGAGAGATACAGTGAGCGTCAGGTTGCTTCCATCCTTAACATTTCAAAGACGGCGGTTCATAAGAACACGGTCAAGCAGCAGACATTGGGGACAACAAAGCTACAGACCGGCAGAGGGCGAAAACGACTCTCTACTGACCGGGATGACCGCCAACTCATTCGCATGTCACTCAACAACCGTAGGATAACATCAAGTGACCTGCAAAAAGAATGGCAAACGGCAGCTGGAGTGAAGTGCATGGCGAGGACGGTTCAAAACAGGCTCCTAGGGGCAGGGCTGAAGTCGTGCAAAGCTAGAAAAAAGCCCTTCATCAATGAGAAGCAAAGAAAAGCCAGGCTGAGGTTTGCAAAAGACCATAAGGATTGGACCATAGAGGACTGGAGTAAGGTCATCTTCTCTGATGAGTCGGATTTTCAGCTTTGCCCAACACCTGGTCGTCTAATGGTTCGACGGAGACCTGGAGAGGCCTACAAGCTACAGTACCTCGCACCCACTGTGACATTTGGTGGAGGATCAGTGATGATCTGGGGGTGCTTCAGCAAGGCTGGAATCGGGCAGATGTGTCTTTGTGAAGGACGCATGAATCAAGCCACGTACAAGGTTGTCCTGGAAGAAAACTTGTTTCCTTTTGCTCTGACATTGTTCCCCAACTCTGATGATTGTTTTTTCCAGCAGGACAATGCGCCATGCCACACAGCCAGGTCAATCAAGGTGTGGATGGAGGACCACCAGATCAAGACCCTGTAATGGCCAGCCCAATCTCCAGACCTGAACCACATTGAAATCTTCTGGAATGTGATTAAGAGGAAGATGGATGGTCACAAGCCATCAAACAAAGCCGAGCTGCTTGAATTTCTTCACCAGGAGTGGCATAAAGTCACCCAACATCAATGTGAAAGACTGGTGGAGAGCATGCCAAGACGCATGAAAGCTGTGATTGAAAATCTGGGTTATTCCACCAAATATTGATTTCTGAACTCTAAGTTAAAACATTACTATTGTGTTGTTTAAAAATGAATATGAACTTATTTTCTTTGCAGGTCTGACAACACTGCATCTTTTCTGTTATTTTGACCAGTTGTCATTTTCTGCAAATAAATGCTCTAAATTCCAATATTTGGAATTTGGGAGAAATGTTGTCAGTAGATTATAGAATAAAACAAAAATGTTATTTTTACCCAAACACATACCTATAAATAGTAAAACCAGAGAAACTGATAATTTTGCAGTGGTCTCTTAATTTTTTCCGCAGCTGTATATATATCGTCGAGGCCTGGTGACAGACGGAGTCCACATCACACGGCGGTGGCTCCCTCTGCTGGACGTGCCAGGTCTTGACATGTCCTCCCCGCCAGAACTAATTGGGGCTGATGAGTAATCAAGGGCTGATTGCTCACCAGCCGTACGGGACCCATAAAGCTGCCAGGAGGGCAGCACAGGGGAGAGGTTCGAGGTAGCTACCGGATAGACGTCCTCATGGTCTGCTAGAACCGAGGGGCTCTGTGTTCTACCACAGAGGAGACAGCATTCCCCGGAGGCCAGAAGACGGTAACCCAGAAGAGGTCTCCTGGAGGAGACCTGTTTTTTATATTTTTCTTTATTGTTTTAAACAAGCATCCTTGAAACTGTCTCCACCACTTGTGTCCGTGTCTGATCTGTGTAAACATTTAGATCAAACTCCCTGGTCTGCCACAAGTGGTGGAAACTGCAGGCAATCTGACAACGTGGTCAGACCAGTGTTGACGTTTACGCAGTATCAGCATGGACGAGTTGATAGCTCAGTTTGTTCGGGCCCAACAAGCGCAACAGGACATTCAGGAACAAACGCTGGAAGAACAGCTTCTACAGAATGTCCGCCTACTTGAGGAAGTCAGGAGGCTGCGAGGAGAAACATGGACCGAATCACATCCCAATCAGTTTTTAATCAAGCTAACGGAGGACGACGACATCGAGACCTACCTCTGCATGTTCGAATGGACAGCACTCCGGGAAGGATGGCCCAAGGCGAAGTGGGCGGCTCTGCTGGCCCCGTTCCTGTCCGGAGACGCCCAAAAGGCGTATTATGACCTCAACACCAAACAGGCGGCTAACTACTACTGTCTCAAGAGGTACTCATTTGCTACGGGTACAGCCATGCCCGTCGGGCCCAGCTGGTCCACGACTGGGAGGTTTGTGGCCGACGCTTCCCCTCCAAGCCCAGATTATCGACCTACTGCGCATCACCAGGGCATGGCTCCTAACCTGACGTAGCCACCCTCCCCGTTATCGACAAAGTGGTCATGGATCTCTTCTTACGGGCACTACCTCACAACATGAAGAGGGAGGCGAGCCTACGCGCTCCTCAGACCTTGGAGGACCTCTTGGGAGCCGTGAAGACGCACCAGAATACAGAGGCCCTGCTGAAGAGGACGCGGGCCGAGTCCGGGAGCCGTCAGAGGGGACGGAACGACAACCCCACCATCGTACTCCCCAATCCGACAGTCAGCCGGGTTAAAGGACTGCAGACCCGCAGAGAGTCGACCCGCCACCAACAACCCCAGGTGGATGAAGACCAAAGGAGGTGTTTTGTGTGTGGCGCCCGGGACACCTCGCATGGAATTGCCCGGGCCGAGAGGAGTCAATGACATCAGTGGGCCCCGGAGACGAGCCGGGCCACGCAGTAAACTATGTCACCTCCTGTTGGGCCCACAGCAAGCCACCAGCACCCATGGTCCCAGTGAAAATCGACGGTCACGACACCCACACTCTGTTGGATTCCGGGAGTGTGGCAACGCTGGTACAAGCGCACCTGCTGGCCCAGCCGACCGACCGTGGGGAGGAGATGTCCCACTCCTGTGTCCACGGCGACACCAAGCGGTATTCGACCGGGCAGGCCAACATCGTGATGCCACAAGGGAGCTGCCAGATGGTGGTGGGTGCTGTACCTGAGTTGCCGATACCCCTCCTCGTGGGACGAGATTGTCCGCTGTTCGCGGCACTTGGCACGGGCCGTACGAAGTGACAGAGAAGCTGGGACCCGTAAATTACCGCGTACGGCAGCCGGGGAGATGGAAACCACAACAGATTTACCACGTGAACCTATTGAAGAGGTGGCACGTGAGGACAGCCTTGGCCGTGCTGTGGTCAAAACCTGGGATGTTGACGGGACCAGTGGTGGTCCCGAGCAATGAGGACCTCGGACCGGCCCAGAAGCAAGCGCTCTGGGAGCTCATCTATCGGAACACTGCCGTGTTTGCCAAGAAACCAGGCCAAACGACCCTCATTGAAGACCATGTCCGCACCCGGCCCGGAGAAACGGTACGAAGGAAGGCCGTGAAGCAGGAGGTTGAGGCTATGCTGAGGATGGGAGTCGTCAAGGAGTCCCACAGCGCATGGTGCAGCCCCATCGTGTTGGTGCCCAAACCGGACAGTAGTCTGCGTTTCTGCAATTACTTCCGGGGGGCTTGTTCGATGCCTACCCCATGCCGAGGGTGGACGAGCTCATTGACCGGTTGGGAAAGGCCCGGTACATGAGCACCTTGGACCTGACCAAGGGATATTGGCAGGTACCCTTGGCAGCCTCCTCCCGGGAGAAGACGGCATTCTCGACACCGGATGGCTTATACCAATACCGGGTCCTCCCCAACTTTGCGGCTATAGCCTCCCCCCTTACCAATCTGACCAGGGCCTACCTCCCTGAAAACAGTGAAGTGGTCGGATGAGGCCGAAGCGGCATTCAGGCGCCTGAAGGAAGCACTGTGCTCCCATCCGAATCTCGTGACGCCCGATTTCCAGGTACCGATGCTGGTGCAGACGGATGCCTGCGACACGGGACTAGGGACTGTCCTGTCCCAGGTACACGATGGGGAGGAACACCCCATCATGTACATAAGCCGGAAGTTGATACCCAGAGAAAAGAAGTACTCGATTGTCAACAAAGAGTGTCTAGCGGTGAAGTGGGCGCTAGACACTTAAGAATTACATGTTGGGCACCCACTTCACCCTGGTCACAGACCATGGCTCTCCTGGTCTGGATGGCCAGGGGAAAGGACACGAACGATTGAGTCACCAGGTGGTTCTTGTCCCTTCAACGCTTCTCTTTTTCTGTTGTGCAGAGGTCAGGGGCGAAGCATGGGAACGCGGATGCCCTATCGAGAAGGGAGACGTATATCGCACTGACGACCGCCCCGTCCCCGACAGGGCTAAGGGGAGAGGGGGGTGTGGCGTACCGCGGACAAGCCACCAGGAGGAGACTCGTCGAGGCCTGGTGACAGTCTACATCACACGGCGATGGCTCCCTCTGCTGGACGTGCCAGGTCTCGACAGGTCCTCTGGCCAGGACTAATTGGGGCTGATTGAGGGCTGGTGTACAGGGCCCATAAAGCTGCCAGGAGGGCAGACGTCTACCGGATAGACGTCCTCACGGTCTGCTAGAACCGAGGGGCTCTGTGTTCTACCCCAGAGGAGACAGCATTTCCCGGAGCCCAGAAGAGGTCTCCTGGAGGAGACCTGTTTTGTTTTGTTTTTCTTTATTGTTTTAAATAAACACCCTTGAAACTGAGGTATCCCATTGTGTCTGATCTGTGTGAACGTTTAGATCAAACCCCCTGGTCTGCCACAAAAAAAAATATATATATATATAGTACCAGTCAAAAGTTTGGACACACCTACTCATTCCAACGTTTTTCTTTATTTTTACTATTTTCTACATTGTAGAATAATAGTGAAGACAAACTATGAAATAACACATGGAATCCTGTAGTAACCAAAAAAGTATTAAACAAACTTGTTGGCTGCTTTTCCTTCACTCTGCCGTCCGACTCATCCCAAACCATCTCAATTGGGTTGAGGTCGGGGGATTGTGGAGGCCAGGTCATCTGATTCAGCACTCCATCACTCTCCTTCTTGGTAAAATAGCCCTTACACAGCCTGGAGGTGTGTTGGGTCATTGTCCTGTTGAAAAACAAATGATAGTCCCACTAAGCCCAAACCAGATGGGATGGCGTATCGCTGCAGAATGCTGTGGTAGCAATGCTGGTTAAGTGTGCCTTGAATTCTAAATAAATCACAGACCGTCACCAGCAAAGCACACCCACACCATAACACCTCCTCCTCCATGCGTTACAGTGGGAACTACACATGCGGAGATCATCCGTTCACCCACACCGCGTCTCACAAAGACACGGCGGTTGGAACCAAAAATCTCAAATTTGGACTCCAGACCAAAGGACACATTTCCACCGGTCTAATGTCCATTGCTCGTGTTTCTTGGCCCAAGCAGGTCTCTTCTTATTATTGGTGTCCTTTAGTAGTGGTTTCTTTGCAGCAATTCGACCATGAAGGCCTGATTCACACAGTCCCCTCTGAACAGTTGATGTTGAGATGTGTCTGTGACTTGAACTCTGTGAAGCATTTATTTGGGCTGCAATTTCTGAGGGTGCAATTTCTAGGGCTATCTACCTTGTCACAACACAACTGATTGGCTCAAATGCATTAAGAAGGAAAGAAATTCCACAAATTAACTTTGAAGAAGGCACACCTGTTAATTGAAATGCATCCCAGGTGACTACCTCATGAAGCTGGTTGAGAGAATGCCAAGAGTGTGCAAAGCTGTCATCAAGGAAAAGGGTGGCTATTTGAAGAATCTCAAATATTACATATATTTTGATTTGTTTAACACTTTTTTTGGTTACTACATTATTCCATGTGTTATTTCATAGTTTTGATGTCTTCACTATTATTTTACAATGTAAAAAATTGTAAAAATAAAGAAAAACCCTTGAATGAGTAGGTGTGTCCAAACTTGACTGGTAGTGTATGTATAATCCACACTTACTTGAGTTGCCCCTCTGATGTGTCTGCATTGTGTCTGTAGTGGAAGTCCGTGTAAGGGGCCAGGATTTGCTGGAAGAAAAACAGAACGTGAAAAACAAAATCACATTCAATGAGGAAAATAATCAAATTAATCAAATTCCTGTTAATGAATGCTGCTCTTTGTATGCGAGTGTGTATTGTCAGTACCTCGAGCTCCACATCCGAGCGCACATACTGTCGTGTGTGTGGGTGGTTGAGGAGGTGTAGGATGGTAGTGATGAGTGCCTCGTTGATGCGGCTCAGCTGACAGTCGATCACGTTCTTCAGAATGGTGCTGAGACCACCCCTCTGGGCCACCACCACAGGGTTCTTCAGAGCTGCAGAATAAAGGAATCACACAGGGTTTAACCATAAGATCACAAATAGATAAGTGTGTGCGTGTGTGGTGTCTCACTCACCAAGTTCACAGATGATGGCGATACAGGCGCGCACCATGCGGTCTCGCTCCTGTAGCCCATCTTTGCCCACGGCAATGAGGGAGTTTGTTACAGACGAGGGGAAGAGCAGTGCATTCACAGTGATCATCTGTAGGGGCCAGCAGAGAGGGGACAGATCAGAGTCTCACATAGTAGTACTCACGTGATAGAAAGATGTTTACTAAATAAGTAAGGGATAATCAACGAGGGGCTATGCGTTCTATGGAAAATAATGAACGACGTGGAAGGTGTGTTCCACTACGCACTAGCGGAGTGGAATTGACCTTCCACGGAGTTGCATTCTTTTCGAGAGAACGCATAGAGCCCCGAGTTGATTATCCCTTTAATACCATGGCTATAATTTAACACATGCCACTAGAAATGTGTTTATTTGCCGGTATAAATGTGTTCAACATCCACTAAAGTAGCTAGCAAGTTTACTAGATAGCTACAGTAGTTGCCGTGGCAACCAAACAAACAGACTTGCTAGTTTAGCTAACCAAACTATCAGTCCTAGCTTGCTATTATGAAAATCAAATTCAACAATACCAATACTGTTTTCAATTAGACTTTTACTTTCAAAAGGAGCTCAAACAAAACATGTAAAAATTAACTATAGCATTTAATTCTACCGTGCAAATATACCGTGTGTTATAGGGAAATAATGCATGCTCTAGAATGCCCTTCAAGCCAATCAGAAATTAGTATTCAAATTCAACAATGCTATGGTATAAAGATGTTTACCACATTCCAGCCGGTGTCTATTCCACAAGTTACCACCGGCTAAAGCTATGTCGTTGAAATGCCTATTTACTCTGTTCCATCTCACTGTGCAATCCACTGTCTCACCAGCCCAGCCAGACAATTTATAAACCTGATCTGCACTGTAAAAAGCATCTAGACATTATCTCACATTTCTTTTAGACTAACATTTCGTTTTCAACAGCGGAGATTTGTATAAACCTTGCTGTCTCTGACATTTGCAACATTGTTTCAGTATTGAAATTCCATCTCCAGTTGTCCCATAGTAATGAACGTGTAGGGGTCGGGAGTCTGGATGAGACAGGCAGGCAGCTTTTCTCAGCCAGTCGAAATCATGAATCTGCATCATTTTTATGGATATATACAAAGAAATGTCAATAGAAAACAGGTAAAATGAAACGAAGTGCAGCTAGTTTGCAGTCTTTCCAGCTTCAGTTTGAAGTGATTGTGTTAGCTGTGCTGTTGGCTAGCTCCTCTGAACAACAAAACAGTGTCCTGACGAGAGCACATTTTCTATGCCAGGTGAAATCATGCATCATTAGTTCATTGTTTTGGATGTATCCAAATAAATGTCACGAGAAAACAGCTTAAACAACTGCAAATGCAGCTACTTTGTTGTTATTCTGGCTGCACTGTTTGACGTGACTGTAAGTTAGCCATAGTTGGCTAGCTAGCAAGCAAGGGATAAGAACATTGCCAGCCAGTATGGCAATAGAACATTTAGAACAAAAAGACTGAATGACTGGGTCGCGTCTCTGGCAACCGAACCGATAGAACGAACGACCAGCCGGCTTGGGTAGAAACCCTAGATTTGTGTTGAGACTATATCTTGTGGAAGGACGAAATAGTATGAATAAATTAATCAAAATAACATTTATGAAAATATGTAAATCATTATTTGAATATGTTGGTAACCCGTTGTATAAAAGTGATTTGCCGGCACTCGATTTCGTCTCGGGCCTAACAACACTCGTGCCAATATATCCTCCAAACACTGGCTTCTAGGGCATTATCACTTAAATAACTGGTCATACCTCAACATCTTACTGAATGGTACACTATGCATGAAATTAATTTAGTTAAAGAGAGGTTGGGGTGTCTCACCTTTCGCACCAGCCTGAGAGCCTGTGTTCTCTCCACCTCATTGCTTTGCTGGATGTCTATGCACCTGGAGAAGGAGATACTCAGTCACTCAGTGGTTGAAAGGTTAAGTTGGCTCAACATTGGGATAAGTCACAAACACACACCGTTCAGATGTAGCACTCACCTGGCGATCAGGTAGTCCACCTGAAGACGGAGGACCTTCTGGAGAATAGCGCTGTCTCTGATCAGGTAGCGTAGAGCCCTAAGGCCTGCAGCTCGCACCTCCTTAGCCTCATTTAACAGCGCTAACCGGAGACTAGAAAAGGGGCAGGACGGGACGTGAGTGAGAGATAGAGAGAGAGAGAAAGAGAGAGTGAGAGAAAGATCGATAAAGTAAGGAACAACAAATCTGCACTAGACTTCATTATCATGGCAAAATCATTCTATAGTGGAACTGGAAACATCACAAAATCAACCGATAGAAAAACAGCTAGTCCTGTACATGTAGCCCTACTGGAGATTCATTTCTCGAAAGACTCACCAAATGATGATCTCTTCATGTGTAAACCCAAGCTTCTCCTCTGAGTGGCCTGCATTGCAGAGAAGCTGTGACAGATGGAGACAAATATACTTGTAAGAACACATTCAAACAAAGAATCAAACGTTACATACAATTAATATCTGCTGAGATATTGCCCCACAAACCTTTATAAAGTTGTTCAGGTGACCGAGTTTGCGCATGTTGGAGACTCCTTGTTGCTTGGCAACATTCTGAAGGATTTCCCGAAGGTTGTCTGAAGGATCTGAAATGAAACATCAAGGTCAATAAGTGAAAAGTTCTCTCACCGGGTTAAAACTCTGTTCCAATACGTTCCAGTAACAGAACACACTGTGTTCAGGTGAGACCAGCATGACTAGGCCTCATTAATGAGTGGGACTGGAACACTAAACTGGAAACAGAAATACATTTGGGATCAGGGCATTTGGGATTTCTTCACCTGAGTGAGCAATAGAAAATCTTAAGCGATAAATCAGTAAAACATTACTATTCTGCAATGGTCAGAATGTGCTATTGTATGCTTCAGTCAAGTGACTTCGGCTTCGGAGCATGAAGTAAAATAGTGTGAAGTGTCCCTGAGGAAATCTGGGATATCACTTGGACAGAGTGTTCCTGTAACGAGGCCAGTTAAGATCCCAAAATGTATATTTTGCTTAAGTTTGGTGGTACTGCTCTGCTGTGAAAATACACCCATTGCACTTCAGCGACCAAAAAAGCACTCCCTATTACCATAACATCATACAGTTGATCAAGGTTGTGGCATTTTGAAGGTGCAATATGATTCAACCAACTTTTGAAAATGCCTCCAGGGGCTTACTGTTACATCCATCAGCTTAACAGGGGAGCTACTATCCTAGACTTGAGGTCAGTCTGCCTACTTTTTATGCAGTAGCTACATTATTTCAAACTATAACTAAATCATTTGTTTACAAACTCTCCCATGATGCAAAAACATAAGCAATGCAATACAGGGCCTTAACATTTGTATTATGATAAAGTAGGAGTGTGTTGGCGTTTAGCTTCAATAAGGCATGGGCCTATTCTGCAAAAATCAAGGGAGGGACTGGGACACATTTCTCTAGTTGAAAATCAATGGCATTGAATTGCATACAAGCCATAGGCAGTGAGCTAGAAACAATGAATGACACTAGCTAATATCCAAACAATATCATGCATCAAAACAACAATGTCGTGATGATCATGTTATGAATTGCTGCTAGCTATGCTACTTAGCCAGGTTGTCAACACAGTTAGCATTGTAGCTAACTAACTTAAATGTAAATAAAGGGAGTTACCATGTTCGACCATTTAGTAGCTAGCTAGCAGCATCCTACTAATAAGATAGCTAGCTTCGATTCAATGGGGATGGTGACTCTCCAAGCTCCAATCTGATTCACCCACCTCTGGAGAGATCGAGTGGTACATTTTCCTCCCCACTGTCATTCCGACCTGTCAAAGCAAACCATACACACCAAGTATTAACGGTTAGCAAGGAGACAGCAACTAACAGGTACAAAGAAAGTTCCGCTTTGTGTTTCGGAGGGTTGCTAATCTCTGATCCAGACTGAAATATCTCTTGTCTCACCTCGCATCCGAATGCTTCGGCTCGGACGGCCTCGGATACTGACCGCCATCTTTACAGAATCATTCAACACCGACCGGGCCGGAATCAACAGGGATTATCGCGAGAAATTCCGCATTCACTGCCTCTTATCTCCACAACCACAGTTGTCTCATATATACAGTCTATGTACTGCACCTTGCAAATCATTGTAAATGATGTTCATGATTTGAGGACAGTGCCATTTATGACAACCACCATTCGGCAATATTTGCTTTAGTTTCTGTCAGGCCCATAATTCTCTCAGATCTCTTGTATGATTTTGGTAGCTGGAAATGTGTCTCCCACCTAAAGCTAAAGAACAGGTATACATTTGGAGAATGTTAAGAGTATATCCCTGCTTCCACAGTGTGAGGGGTCACGACTAGAAGGGATCCAGCTTTATGTCAGATGTTAAACTCCCGCGAGAGTTTGAAACCTGCCAAAGTTGGGACTTGGGAGAGTGTTCAGAATGATTCAGTTTTCTTCTGATCGAAGTAATTGTTCGGTTTTTTTCACAAAAATGTAGACGTTAATTAAGTTTATTCCAAATTAAACGAACACCCCCACCTCTTTGCCATGGTTGTTGTTTTTTTTAATCCATTTGGCTGCACTTGTCATCCCGGGACAGTCCTGTATCTCAGCCTCTTTTCAGTTGTCCCAATTTTTCTTTCTACAAAAAATGTAATTTTGTCAGCAAGACGCATCAATTATTTTAGGCTACAAGAGTGTAGACCCAATGACAATCGCCGAATGTCATTACACCTTTTGGTGTGTTGTAACAGATGTCTCTTTCCATTCATCAAATGACTGGATGGAGTGGACGAACATGTGCGGCCAGCCTACTTTTTGGTGATTTGTTTGACAATAAGATGAAAACATCATGACTGGTTGTGTTCATACAAATTAAAATGTAATATGTTTTGTTGTTACCGTTAAATTACGTCTTTACTAGTAGGCCCGCACATAATTTGTTTTACTGCAAGCGCGTGCACACAAAGGAGATTCCTTGAAAAAAATAGAGACCCCCGAATGTCACGGTATACAGTGTATTCGGAAAGTATTCAGACCCCTTGACTTTTTCCACATGTTGTTACGTTACAGCCTTATTCTAAAATTGATTAAATATTATTATTTTTATTAATCTACACACAATACCCCATAATGACAAAGCGAAAACAGGTTTTTAGAAATTCTTGCAAATGTATACACAGTTTAAAACTGAAATACCTTGTTTACATAAGTATTCAGACCTTTTGCTATGAGACTCGAAATTGAGCTCAGGGCATCCTGTTTCAATTGATCATCCTTGAGATGTTTCTACAACTGGATTAGAGTCCACCTGTGGTAAATTCAATTGATTGGACATGATTTGGAAAGCCACACCTGTCTATATAAGGTCCCACAGTTGACAGTGCATGTCAGAGCAAAAACCAAGCCATGAGGTCGAAGGAACTGTCCGTAGAGCTCCGAGACAGGATTGTGTCGAGGCAGAGATCTGGGGAAGGGTACCAAAACATTTCTGCAGCATTGAAGGTCCCCAAGACCACAGTGGCCTCCATCATTCTTAAATGAAAGAAGTTTGGAAGCACCAAGACTCTTCCTAGAGATACATCAGTATAGTATATTCCATAGCGAATTGACATGTTGTTTGCCAATGTTTCTGCAAAAGCAGCGATGCCCATTGGAAGTCCTGCGTGAGTGTCATCGGTGAGCAGGGATTTGATTTCTGTGACAGCAGGGAGGATCATCCCCAGGTTCCCCAGCTCCTTCTGCATTTTGTCTGTGAGGTCTGCCAGTGGTGTCAGCACACTGACAAGGTGCGTCAGCTGCCGTACTTGATTCAGGGTGATGTTAGCAACATTAGACTTGAGTTTGTTTTGCCATAACGGGTATTTTTGGAACAACCGGATGAACGATTGAATCATCCCCAGCTGGCTGCTCCATCGAGTGGCGCAGGCATTTGTGGGGCAGACACCTAAATGGTCGGTTTCCTCTGTGTTCACGGTGCTCTTGCGTACACTTTTCACCATGTGCCCGACTTTCACTAACAGCCTATTCATGTTGTCGTGCTCGTTAACGGCGTCTTTGATCGCCAGCTGAAGCATGTGAATGGGGCATCTGATGTAAATTTGACACAGTAAAGTACTGATTTATCATAGTTTCTACATTAGTGGTTATCACTTCCACATGGACTTGCGAGGGCGCAGGTGGTCCCTCATCCTCCTCTTCATGTTCTGCGCTGCTGCTGGCATCCGCGGTCACTTCACCCTCCGCCTCCTCTTCAGTGCCAGGGAGGAGGTTAAACGCCTTGATCATGTTGCTGGCACTGTCAGTGACAACCCGAATCACACGTCGTTGCACGTTCCAATATTTCAGTACACTTTCATACTTTTGGTAAATACGATCTGCGGTATGGTGCCCCTGTATGTGCTCACAGCCCAACAAAACCGTGTGCCTCCGGAACGTCCCATCAATGAAACTGGCCACGATGCCAAGGAAGCTGTGCCCTCTTCTACTGGTCCAAATGTCCGCTGACAGAACGAGCCCATCACCATTTTGCAGTAGGTCTTGCAGTTTGGCTTCCATCTCTTCCAGGGCATGTGACATGAGCGTGTCCCGTACGGTGTTGTAGCATGAGGGGGTGTAGCCCGGTTGAGCTGCGCTGGCGAAGTGTTGCATCCCTTAGCGTTCTCCTTTAATCAGCGGTTCATAGTCCATGTAAATCATTTTTTTAAATGCTACATCCAGCTCTCTTTTTCTCTCCCTTGTTATGGTTGGGCCTTTGCGTGCAGTGAAGAAACGTTTGAATTCCTCAACCATTTTCTCTTGTTGCTGCTGCTGCTGCTCCTCTCGCTCTATAAAATACAAATTCATGGACGACACAAATTAAATTAAACAGATGGATTCTAGGTCAGGCTTGAGCATGCTTCAGACTCGTGGTGTGAGCGAGAGAAATTGGAGCGGGACATAGGGCGACGCTCCGTCCTTTTAAAAATGCCGCTCTGCGCTCTGTCCAAAATCCGCCCGCTCGCTCCCGCTCCACTCCGCTCACATGCTCTGTTCAGAGGATGCAGCTTTCAAAGACTTGGCCTCTATTGTTTGACCTGTCATGTTTGTTTTTGCTGTTGAAGTGCTTTGAGATTCTATGAAAAGCGCTATGGAAATGTAATAGTAGTAATTTTGGTTTTGAGCCAATCACAGAACGCTGCAGAGCTGAGGGCGGGCAGTCACTCAGGTCTATTACGCTGGAGGTTTAAACAGTCCCTTCTTGGGTTCAGAGAAGTAAAGTTGGCTGTTTACTTTTTCTATTGATTTATACCACAGATTTTTGGGTTGCCTATTTCAGCAAATACTCGGGGAGATGTCACACGAAAGGTATGTTCTAGAATTCACAACCATATCTACATTTAGGAGATATTGATTGCGTGGTATGGGTGGGCGCATTCTAGAATGCAGTGCGAATCGTTCCAGCTTGCCCAACAGATCCTAGGCATATATTGTCGATTCGTCGTGCAATGCAAGGCTCAAATTAAAATAGTAATTATTGTTCATGAGAAGGGCACAAGTACAGTTCGAGCAAAATAATACCGATTATACCAAAAATGCATTGGCAGACCCAGAAATCGAAACCGCGCGCTCTCAACACAAGGAGGCGGCTAGCACATCAGAATGTGATAATTTACATGCTAAAACAACTTTATAGCTAGGAACACTAATGAAATGTTTTATTGCATAGCTACATGTCTATTTAAACGTGTATTTTTGGTGTGATATGGCGCAATTTTTGGGGAGATTAACTACTAAAATGGAACGCCCGCAAACATGGCGGGCATTCATTCTAGCGAGCGAACTATCTAACGTTGGCTAACTAAACTTTGCTAATTGTGAACTAGCTACATTGTGTAACGATGTTTTAGCAAGCTACATCAGGTGTTACATCTCGGGTAATACAACATGCACAAAAAGATTGTCCGTTTGTCTCATTGTCCCATTATTTTTGTATCAGGGCTTTGCAGGAGTTGCCCTGCCTGAATGAGAATTTGGAGGGATCCATGCTGTCCCTCACTGAGAAGAGCAAACGGAAAAAGAGACAATACTTTGGAGAATGTCTGGACACGGAGAACACCCCTCACGAGCTCATTCAGCAGTGGTCACCACCTCACAAGCAGCGGGTGGTCTGCAAGGGCAAAGAGAACGAGGATAACCAGTTCGTGCTTGCCAGGCGACCAAGGAAAAGGAGGGAGTTTTCAGGTGTGTATAGCCATGTGTTGGGAGGAATACAATAAGCTTAGAAAAACACAGCTAATTATCTGGAATTCTTAAGAATTATTCTGTTTTAGGGAAGTCACTATTTGATCAAATTATTGATTGTTTGATGTTGTTTCAATGACAGGCTTGGCCTGGGACAGTCTCCCAGATGAGTTGCTGTTGGGAATCCTGTCCTGCCTCCCCCTGCAGGACCTCCTCAGGATGTCCCGGGTCTGCAAGCGCTGGCATCGCTTGGCGTAAGTCTGGGACCATTCAACTGTACTTGTAAACAACTTACATACTACACTGCAGAATTTCTGCTTGAAAATCTTAGATATCACACTCACTTTTCCTAACACTGGCAAATAGATCAGCAAAACGTATCTGAGTCTGTCATTTAAGTCTGCATGTTTTTGTGCCTGGCAGGTTTGACGAGTCTCTGTGGCATAGTGTGGATCTGGTAGGGAAAGCCCAGCTAGATCAAGCTCTTGGGCAGATGCTTACGGTTGGAGTACTGGGACTGCGCTGCCCCCATACCTGCATTGGAGAACCACGTTTCACCCACACACAGTGAGTCCTCATACTCATACATATAATGGGGGTACAGAGGTTTCTGTTGTAGGTGAACATAGACAATCCTATTTGTTGTGGTGCAGTATGTCTTATCATGTAATTTTGTCTGTTATTTCAGACACCTGCATGTCCATCACATGGATCTGTCCAGCTGCACTGTAACAACCCCGGTTCTAGATGACATCATCTCACGTTGCAGGCTGCTAGAGAATCTAAGCTTGGAGGGACTGGAGCTCTCTGACAACATCGTTCAGTGAGTAAAGAAGACAAATGCTCTGTTTACAATGATGTCATGTAAATGTTACCAGCCATTTTAGACAGCATTCAGAATGATTCTTAACAGTCTTACTCTACCCATCAGGTCCCTATCTCAGAATACTGAGCTGGTACGGCTCAACCTGTGTGGCTGCTCTGGCTTCTCCCCTGACTCGCTTAGTGAGATTCTCAAATCCTGCTCACGGTAAGCTTAGTCTCTCAATTTCTAATTCTGTTTTATTTGATGATTTTGAATGTGTTTGAAGTTCTAAGTATTTCTGAATGATAGCATAATCTATGTAATTAACTCGCTGTTTAAACCATGATCTGTGCATTGGTAAACTAATGCAGAACTTTGTTGCTTTCCCTTTTTCCATTCCTATACCAAGGCTTGAAGAGCTGAACTTGTCGTGTTGTGACTTCAGCACTGATCATGTGAAGGCTGTTGTAAGTAACATCCCCTCCAATATCACCCAGCTCAACCTCAGTGGCTACAGACAGAACCTTACTATGGAAGGTGAGGAAAACCTATGGCATTGAACATTTTCCCTCAGCCCATATTTGTATTGACTGTTTGAATATCTCTATACTGATGATGAGTTAAATTTACCAATGGCCTCTTTTCAGATGTGAAAGACTTGGTGGAGAGATGTCCTAACCTCGTAAATCTGGATTTAAGGTGAGTTCATACTGTATCTCCTGAGCTGGGCTGAAATGTGGATCCACATGATTGCTTTGACTATGACATTATTTGACATGGATACTGTACAACTACTGTTTCTTCATACCATAATCTCATTATGATAACTTGTCTGTGTATTTGTGTTACAGTGACAGTGTTCTGATGACGACCTCCAGTTTCCCCATCCTCCAGCAGCTGCAGTCTCTTAGACACTTAGCATTGAGCCGCTGCTACCAGATTCACCCTGCTGCCTTAGCGTAAGTGACAGACAAACTCTCAAGTGATAATATGAATGCTTTAGTAGTCTTGTTGCTTTCCTTAGCTGCCAATTCCTCTCATTTTTTTGTTGTTTTAAGCCTATTGTTTATTTCAGTGACTTTGAGAAGTTCCCAGAGCTGCAGACGTTGGAGGTGTACGGGCTGGTCCAGGACACCTACCTGCCAATCCTGAGTAAAGGTTTGCCCCGTCTCCAAATCAACACCCGGCCATTTTCAGGCGTGGCCCGTCCCACCGAGGCCACCCGGAGGGACCGCACCATGTGGGGCATGACCTGTCGCTTGGTGTTCAGGCCCTAGCCATAACACCTTCCTAACGCTGTCACTAACATGTCATAACTCATTTCTGTCTGATGTGGTCATGATATAGGAGGAATATTATCTATTTTTAGTGTGTCTGTGTCAGCCATTGTGTGTATGCATATTGCACAGAGCCTTTTGCAATTTGTTGTACACTGACACCAATTGTTCTGACTGGTGATGTAAATGCCTGTTTTGTTGTGCTTTTGTCAGCACTTATTTTGGTTTTATAATGGTGGGCATTGGTTCTAAGTTATTATTGTAATAAGCTCAGTAATAGGACATAGCCTTCGGATACACAGTAGTGAACATTTTAAATGCTGGTAAATTAAATTTCTCCACAGTAATGCTACTTGAATACCATGCAACTGAATTCATAAGATTTTAAAAGCGTACCTGTTTTAGAAATATTTTAACCCTGATAATGTTGAAGACGGAGCTTGTTGCTTTCAGGGAAATAACTTTTTATTGTATTTTTTGCTTGAGATAATCATACATTTTGATTATAGGATGCTGATACTGTATCCCATGATCTGGCCATTATATTTACTTCCGAACATTCCAAAGACCGATCTGTTTGAAAAAAGGTCTATAGTAAAGCGTGCAAAACTCAACGTTATAGAGTGATAATGTTTGTTCATTCTGTAATGTTTTACAAACTGGATATGGGAACATTAGTTCCAGTTACTGTCTATCAACTGTAAGCAGTGTTTGCCAGAAAGAAACGGAAGATTTTGGTCCAAGTTGGATTATTGCATAGGTGCACCACCATTGTAGCTGGTGAAATCTCTACCTCATGATGCATTGGTTAGAATTCTCTTTTTAAAGTGTTTATAAAATACAAATTTAATCTGCATTTGAAGGCCCCGTTTTCAATAATGATGCCGTTTACTTGATCTGTTTATTTTAAAAGGGGAAAATCAATGAAGTTACATTTTAAATCAACCTCTACATCCATTTGACGGAATAAAAGCTGAGGTGGTTATAACGTATATACAAAAATCTAGATCCGTTGGCAATTTTGTGGAAATACAAATGTAATCTTGTCCCTAAATTAGGTACTAAATATGAGAATGTGCAGTACTACAGGCCTATAATGTAGAAGAACATGTTAGCTAGTGCCCCCCTGTGGCAGAGGCTATGTATCTGAGCCATGTTTGGTCTGGTTCCTGTTTGTGCTCACATTTGGTTGAGATGTTTGAGAAAAACTTGAATTTGTTTAAATTAATGCATTGACAAATAAGATGCACTGTCACAAATGTCTAAATGTTTTATTTAAAGAGTTCTGTGATCATGTTTTGATTTCACACCATTTAATAATCAGACAAATGCCTCCAGTGTTAACTGAACAAAAATATAAACGCAACAATTTCAAAGATTTTGCTGAGTTACAGTTCATATAAGGAAATCAGTCAATTTAAATACATGTATTAGGCCCTAATCTATGGATTTCACATGACTGGGCAGGGGCGCAGCTATGGAAGGGCAGAGGCCCACCCACTTGGGAGCCAGGCCCAGCCAGTTTTCCCCCACAAAATAGAACATTTCTGCGGTCTTTTATTTGAGCTCATGAAACATGGGACCAGCACTTTACATATTGCGTTTATTTTTTTGCTCAGTGTAGTTTCATGACCTGGCACCATAAGGAGCATTGACAGTCATTTGTAATTTCAGCTGTAGAACTAGAGCCACAGAAAGTAGTCCACATACAGTTCACATGGCAGAATCCACAACACAATATGGATTTATTTAGACATGGCTCCCTTCTGCATATTAATCTTACATAATGTGTGATTCATAACTAAAACCATTCCTCTTAACTTCCAGGCGTTTTCTAAATGACCCCTTGATGAACGCTGGAACCAAATATTTTAGTATTTTGCAGTTTCAGGCCCAGGCACATACTGTTTTTGTTTTGTCAAAGTTGAGGTGAAGACCCTCGAGACCCTGACCTGTTGAGCAATACAATGCTTTCGGTTTTGATCTTAGTGCATTACATTTTTCATCTTGTACTACCACTCTCCAACACAATTGGTGTTTGAAGCCAAGCAGCTCAAAAGAGCTAGAAAAATATTTAAATGCAGCCAAATGGAATACCAAAACATCAGAATTTGTCCACCAATACCAAAAATATCAACTTTGTGCTCACAACATTTTTTCCAATAGGAATTAGCACTATGTCTGAAAAACTCCAAAAATATAAATGTATATTTAAATAAACTAATGATTGCAGCACATGCTTAAAATCCTCTTAATTCCGTTATTGTAACATGACATTCCGTAAGAAATTGTATTTCAAGTGAGCCATTGTTATGCGGGCTCGCTCTGTCCCTCAGTTTTGCCTTATATAGCAATTGGTGGAGAGGATTGATTTGGGTAGTGTTTGGCAACGATAAATGCCCAAGGCAAAGTCGGAAACTCACAGCTGCCTGACAGAATGCCTATTCGGTCTCATGTTTTAAAAAATGGCAAGTCTTTATACTTAAGCAAACTCAAAACATGTGAAACTAACCATCCATAATAGAGCAAGACGATTCATTGAATACTGTCCGGCTTCTGTAAGTAAATGAATTGTGAAGAAAGTAGCAAATACTGCATAATTGCACTCATTTCCGCTTGCACGGTAAGCTTGTGACGATATTGGGTAAATCAAATTGAGACAAATAGCTAAATAAAACCCAAATGTAACTAATACAGCCAACACCAATGCAAAAGTAAAGAACACAATTGTGAATATAGCCTAAATATCATTCTGCCAAACTCCAAAAAGCTACAAGGGGAGGATGTGATAGTCTCATCAAGTTCACAGGTCCTAATAATGCATGAGACTAGCCTCTTCTCCCTACTTCCTTCATAGATCACTGCTGTTGAGAGTCTACTGTGAGCTCAGTAAGAATGGTTGGCGGGTCAGTTTTCAAGGAGAACAGTCCGGAGCTGATCCTCCTCGTTCATGGTGATTGTTGCTATGGCACCGTCATTGAACTCAAAAGAAGTCCCGCCGTCCACCACCATGCACGCGTCCCAGCACCGTGAGCGCACACACACCCTGAAGAGCAACACCCAAAAGATTTCAAAATGGGATCAAGAAGAATTCTTCAAGACAAGAAGAATGGGCAATGTGCCTTCAGAAAATATGCATACCCCTTGACTTACTCCACATTTTGTTGTGTTACAGCCTGAATTCAAAATGGATTACATTTAATCCAAATCCAACACAAGTTCATTTCTTTGCCACATTTTTTGCAGTTTTACTTTAGTGCCTTGTTGCAAACAGGATGCATGTTTTGGAATATTTTTATTCTGTACAAGCTTCCTTCTTTTCACTCTGTCATTTAAGTTAATATTGTGGAGTAACAACAATGTTGTTGATCCATCCTCAGTTTTGTCCTATCACAGCCATTAAACTCTGTAACTGTTTTAAAGTCACCATTAGCCTTATGTTGAAATCCCTGATCGGTTTCCTTCCTCTCCGGCAACTGAGTTAGGAAAAACGCCTGTATCTTTGTAGTGACTGGGTGTATTGATACAGCAAAGTGTAAATAATAACTTATAGATAATTGTATGTGTGGGGTACAGAGATGAGGTGGTCATTTAAAAATCATGTTAAACACGGAGTCCATGCAACTAATTATGTGACTTGTTAAGAAACTTTTTGCCATAACATTTACATTTTAGTCATTTAGCAGACGCTCTTATCCAGAGCGACTTACAGTTAGTGAGTGCGTACATTTTCATACTGGCCCCCCTGGCCCCCCGTGGGAATCGAACCCACAACCCTGCCGTTGCAAGCGTCATGCTCTACCAACTGAGCTACACGGGCCACTACAAAAGGGGTTCAATACTTATTGACTCAAACCGTTTCAGCTTTTCATTTTTAATTAATAAAAACATAGTGTGTAGGCCAGTGACCCAAAATCTCAATTTAAAATGTAGGCTGTAACACAGCAAAATGTGGAAAAAGTCAAGGGGTGTGAATACTTTCTGAAGGCACTGTAGATAGAACTGACCTGTTGGCAAAGCCTCTTTGGCGACTGCTGGAGAATACTCTGTTGACGATTGGCTCTCTGATGCTGAAGAACATTCTGCCTTCCTCCGGACCAAACACCAGAGACTTGTTGTATTCATCAGTCACTGATAAAAGAAAGACATTGTGCGATTAATTTATACACATTTTCCTTGAGCATTCATCCATCTATCCATTCACACATTCAGCTGTACATATTTTGGAACTCACCCTTCTCAATCAATTCCTGACTCAGTGGAATATCAAGACCCATTTGTGCCTTTCCTGGAAAGATACAGAGAACTCAATCACTCATGACATTATCAGTGTAGTATACAGGTTCTCCAAATCATTGATTGATTGTCTCAATTTCCAGATGTAATTCCATTTACACAGAGATTTAAGAAAACACAAATCCACATGATTATTGTAAAGGTTGGAGTCCACATACCTATCATTAGGACTTCTTCCACAGCCTGTTCAACCAGTTTGTTAATATTGTAAGACCTGTAAAAACACACCAGAACGAGTCTCATGAAACAAACATTCCACTAAAAGCTGTGCTGTAAATCAAATCAGCGTTTTTCCTAATTTAGATTTTTAATTTTTTTTAACTAGCATGAACAAGAAGTAGCATTCACAGTGGACTTCCAGTACCACTAATTGGCAAACACCAACATAGGTTAAAAAAATTATAAAAAGAAAATGGCTTATGTGTACCAGGCTTTAGATCCGGTCCCAGTGCAGACGCTAAGGCCAGAGCTTTTCTGCTTCTCCCATGGTCCGTCGTCCACAGAGATCTCATAGTAGGAAGCCCTATGGAGCGAGAGGGTGAGATGAGGTTTGAAGGATTTATACTTCACCCTGTGAGTGACGGACAGAGATCCACCAATGAGTGCTTGGAGAAATGGGTGGGTGTAGTAGTAGTGCAGGAGGCATGTTAATGAAGGGGGAAACATGCAGAGACAAGCAGCAAAACAGGCATTCATGTTTGGGGGGGGTTCATGATGCCATGGCTTGTTTTGATGACAAGGGTACCTGGAGGAGAGAGATTCCCCGATGAAGATCTCATTCAGTCCTCTGACAGGGAGTAGATAGGGCTTGGATAAGCTGCCAAACTCACCTGTATCGAAGAAACAACAATGAATAGAGGAACTGGTAGAAAAGGGCTTTTTAACAAATCACATGAAATTAATTATGTGAATTAATACCAGAACAAAAAAATGTGACCAGTCCAGAAGACATGTTAATCATTCAAGACAGTGCCCCCTCCATTCAAAAAGTATTTGATTGTTCCCAAGGGCCCAGACAGACAGACAAAGAGACTGAGACAGGTACACATAGGAGGCCGAGGGGCCGTACTGCGCTGGGCCTCCATGAGGGTGATGCGGTGGGCCTGGTTGTGTTGCTCCAGACTGAGCTGCTGTTCATGTAGGTCCACTGGGGTGGGGTTGATCCCTGTGCCCTCCAGGTGTAGACGGATCCTCTGCCGCCACTGCCACCTGCAGGACATAGAGGGGGGAAGGGTTGAGAGGGAATGGGAAGTAAATGAATCAAAGGAGTTAAGTAGTAGAGTGTGTGGTAGGCAGGTCAAGGAACATTTGGAGAAAGAAGAGGGGGTGGTGAAACATGTCATGATATTAATAGGCATTACTGTTCCTGGAATCAGAAACTCATGTCTTACAGTTCAGCAACAGTAACACCAGAGTGCATAGTAGTAAGACCAGGCATGCTGAACAGAACTGGGGAAGTGTGGCAAAGAGATCAGAGTATTCTTTACGAGTAAACATAGCTTTCTTAACAGCAGTATTCTGGCCAGGGAAGTGAAAGGGAAACACCCACCTGAACTGACCACGGCGGAGTTTTTGTAGTGCCTCAGGGAAGGCATGTGTGTAACGCACAGGCAGACACAGATGTCCCTCTGACCTTCATTCAAAGCAAAAAAGACAGCTGTAATAGGAGCACTTTTTTCCTCAAACTAGATAAAACAATTTTCCCCCCTCTAATTCTATAACAAAATGTTGAAATTCACCACAAGGAATTCCCCAACCCACCACTTTATTTTCGTTAACCCCTTTTGTTGTGAGTTCTTACCTTTCAGGGTCTGTGTTAACCCCAAGAACGGGTTGGTCTTTATTGAAAACCTTACTGGCGACAAGTAGCATAGTCCCATCCCCTAACAAAAGGAACAGGAGGGGGTCAGAGCTAATGACAACAAGGTTTCTGGGTGAAATGGGCCTATTCATGGTTGAGCTGACCCTTCGTATTCTCTGAGCACTGACTTTCAACAGTATGATTACATTTGAATTCGGATTGTCTTGTACCACTCTGTGGGAAAGTGACCATGTAAATTATCAGCTACTATTCTCAAACTCTTAAAAAGGGAGAAGACGTACCCCCTGCAGAGATAATAGCGTCTGCCCATCGCACTGTTTCTTCATCATATTGCCCTCTCTTCACCACACGCACTTCCATCCCCTCTTTCCTAGAGGGAACAGAGAGACACACAAAGGTTAGGGTTATGTGCCACTTTACAACTTAATGACCGCTTGTATACAGTACACCACAACAATATCCTTGAATAGAATCTCATCATCTTACTGTAGACTCTCCACAATGTGTTCCACATTGCGGGTATGGATGTTGTGTCTCTCCAGAAGCCCAAGGTAGCTGGAGCCCTTCAATGCAAGCTGTAACAAGCACAAAACTCAGATTATCACAATTATAATCACAGCAACGACATTTCAACCAGGCTCTGGTGAGGATTATCATACAACTCGCAACATTGAGAAAGGAATCTGACATCCTTCAAGATAAATATTTGTCTATCACCAGCATCGATCTATGGGATCACCAAATCTCTATGTCTGAACTGAAAATTAAACTAGTGTGTGCTGATGCCTAGTTGTTCAGGGGGTGTTTTACTGTCAAGGATGAACACATTTAACAGATGAGCGAGTTTGAGAGCAAGTACCAGTGGTGGAAAAAGTACCCAATTGTCATACTTGAGTAAAAGTAAAGATACCTTAATAGAAAATTACTCAAGTAAAAGTCACCCAGTTAAATACTACTTGAGTAAAAGTCTAAAAGTATTTGGTTCTAAAAAATATACTTAAGTATCAAAAGTAAATGTAATTTCTAAAATATCCTTAAGTTCCCAAATTCCTTATATTAAGCAAACTAAAAAGTAGATTATTTTCTTTAGGAATGTAGTGAAGTAAAAGTTAAATAGTAGAGTACAAATACCCCCCAAAACTACTTAAGTAGTACTTTAAAGTATTTTTACACCACTGGCAAGTACCATAATATCACATTGTTTTCCATTCCCTTACCAGCTGTTTTAGGTCCTCTTCTGATAGCTCTGAAAAGCGATATCTTTGCTGCTCGAATTCATATCTTGTCATCTTTGTCACCACAGCAACCTTTGCGGGGTTGAAACCACTTTCAGCCTGTGATGCAATATTTCGTATCCCCATCTGGATGTGAAGGAGGCGACCTGAGCTCCTATTTAAAATAGTGACAGCTCGATTCCCAAGGCACAGAACGTTTATAAAGGCTCGGTAAGTCATTCTTGTAAATGGTAAAAAAAGACAATCAATCAAAAGTTATTCGTTGTTGGTCCCCTTTAATGTGGTCGTTGGTCAATTCGGTGGTAACCCAATGTCGGTAATGTTAGCTTGAGCTTCCTCCCAGCTGTTTGACTTGGGTCCATTCATTCATGCACACTAAACTCGTTGAATCCAGATGGTCCGAGACCACTCTCACCTAGCGTAGTTCTGAATTGACAAAGCACGACCTAGCAAGTTTAGCTACTATAGCAGCTTAAAAACAATTCACCTTAGCTCTAGCCAGCGCTCTGTTTCACTTTCACGAGCAAGCAATGTAGCTAGCAAATACAGTTTATGAACAACTTCTGTTTATACTAACATTTGCCAGATAACTACGTAATGGGTGAAAAGAAGGTCACGCGCACTCTGATCCAGCTAGATAGCGCGGTCTAGCTGACGATAGCTAGCTTCAAATCTGTCCAAATCTCCATGTAAACCCGTCGCTAGCAAGCCCAACACACCACACAGGTCAGTTCAAAATACAGCAACATAACGTTACACACATAGTTAGCTAGCTAACTTGCCTCAAACTAAGTTCTTTGCTAGCGACCCTCTCTACATGTAGCTTTCACTTTTCTTTTTATCCTGCAAATATTCGTTTGATCATACTTATTTACTCTAAGCAGCTCCAAGAAACTAAATACATGCATGAATGTTAGCTATTTGAGACTCAGAGGACTTATTGAACAACAGTACCCAGCTCCTACGACACCATCTTTGATGCACGTAGCGCACGCACGTTTGCTGAAAGTGCTCGCTTATTTTATGACGTAAAAAAACGTGCATTTCATGGGTGGAGCCGGAGCATTGTTCTCTAAATAGAGTGGTGTTTCTTATTATACCTCATTGGCAGTGCTATCTGTCCTATTTTGTTCAACATTATGATTAACGATGTGTTTTCGAATGTAGGTAGGGGCATTGGGGCTTCCCTATATGCTGATGATGGAACTATTTGGAAGAGGGGAAGGAATGTCTCTCATGTGATCAAATCTATTCAACAAGCTATAGTGGTTGTTGAAAGACAGTCGATTGACTGGGGTTTTAAAAGTTGTCAGTGGCACAGTCTTGTATGTTCTTCTGGAAGAAAAAAGTTGCTGATAATATACAGTTGTTTCTGTATGGACAGCACATGGGGAGGGTTGAAACAAAGTGTAAGAAGGTGGTGAATCTTATGCGCTCGGTCTCTGGTTATGAATGGGGTGCTGACAGACAATCGTTGATGGATATTTATAGAGCTCTGATCAGGACAACAATTGATTACGGGTGTATAGTTTATGGAACATCAGCGAAGACTTGGCTTCAGAGGCTGGACATAATCCAGTATATAGCTGTAAGGATATGTATTGGTGCATTTAAATGAACATCTGAATGTGCCTTACTAGTGGAGGCAGGTGAGATGCCTTTGGATATGCAGTATAAAAAAATGACATTAGCTTATTGGGTTAGGTTGAAAGGCTGTGAGGTTGAGTATCCCACTGTTACTGTTCTAGATTACTGTTGGGACTATACAGTGCGTTCAGAAAGTATTCAGACCCCTTCACTTTTTCCACATTTTCTTACGTTACAGCCTTATTTTAAAATGAATTAAATTGTCGTCGTCCCCCCCCGCGTCAATCTACACACAATACCCCATAATGACAAAGCAAAAACTGGTTTGAAATATGGGGTATTGTGTGTAGACTGATTAAATAAAAAAATGTCCTCATCAATTTTAGAATAAGGCTGTAACGTAACAAAATGTGGAAAAAGTCAAGAGGTCTGAGTACTTTCCGAATGCACTGTACTAGTAGACAAGGCAGTGATTTTGATTGGACAGTTGGAAAGCTTGCTGATGAGAGTGCTTTGAGGGAGTTGGATGTTGGCCCTTCTGTGGTGATAGGGGATGTTCCTCTATGGTTACTCCCAGATCCTGTTGTTGATCTAACCTTGGTAGAGAAAAGGAAAGATTTGTCAGAAGTCAGTGATATAGGGAAACTGGTTGACAATTACATTAGTATACGTTTTTATGCTTTTTTACCGCTTTTCACAGACCCAGATAGTGGGCGCACAGGAGCAGGCGTTTACGTTCCTGAATTTAATGTGCAGATATGTAGAAGACTAACAGATGAACTGTCAGTATACTCAGTTGAACTGTTGGCGATAGTAGTTGCCCTCCAGTGGGTGGGGGACGTACAACCTGTTAGAATTAATAATAATATGCCATTTAGCAGACGCTTTTATCCAAAGCGACTTACAGTCATATGTGCATACATTTTTACGTATGGGTGGTCCCGGGGATCGAACCCACTACCCTGGCGTTACAAGCGCCATGCTCTACCAATTGAGCTACAGAGGACCACTTGATAGCACAGAGTCACCAAACACATTACTATATGAAGCTTTGAGAAACTGAACATAATTCTGCAGGCTGCGGTTGGTAGAGTCAGATTGTTCCAGTCTCTCCTTCATGTTCTTCAACTGATTCTGGAATCGTCGCTCCATATCCTCTTTGCTTCTGCGTAACTGACTGAGCTCTGTCCTTCTGAGGCCCAGTTGGCTCTCCAGGTCCAGAGCCTTGGCCTGGATGGACCTCTCTTTGAATAAAGCCCGCTCCAGGCTCTGATCCGCCTGTCTCTGTCCATCTTCGAAGGCCTGCTCCAGCTGCTTGGAGAGGATGCTGCACTCCCGGGCCCGCTCCTCCAGCTGTTTCTGGGTGCTGTGGATAGTCTCTTACGCTTGCCAATTACATGGACCATATCTCTGTTCTGCAAGTTTGCCTCCTCCAGTTTCCTCTCTATACTCTCCATCTTCTGCTGCAGATTTTTGTGCTCCTCCACCAGAAGCAAATTCTTCTCTTGAAAAGTCTCCACCCAACATCCCTGTTGTTCCACCTTGTGTCTGAGTTCAGACAGGGTGTTGTTTTGCTCAGTGTTTCTCCTCTCCTGAGTGTGTGTCTCTTCCTGGGCCACTCTCAATTTATGGTATGCTCAGAATCTTTGTCTATATTGAATAGCTTATCATCTGGTAAATCTAATAGGAGTGACTTACTATTGGAGGTACTAATGTTATTATGGAGAATTGAGAGACTGGGTGTAGTAGTGAGATTCTGCTGGGTCTCAGCACATTCGGGTGTGGAAGGGAATACAATTGTAGACCAGTTAGCCAAAAGGGCTTTGAAACGATATATAATTGAATTTAATATTCCACTGGGTAGAGGTGAGGCCAAATGTAAGATCAGAGCCATTTTGATAGATGTGTGGCAGTAGGAAGTTTACATACACTTAGGTTGGAGTCATTTAAACTCGTTTTTCAACCACTCCACAAATTTCTTGTTAACAAACTATGGTTTTGGCAAGTCGGTTAGGAGATCTACTTTGCGCATGACACAAGTAATTTTTCCAACAATTGTTTACAGACAGATTATTTCACTTATAATTCACTGTATCACAATTCCAGTGGGTCAGAAGTTTACATACACTAAGTTGACTGTGCCTTTAAACAGCAAAGGAAAATTCCAAAAAATGATGTCATGGCTTTAGAAGCTTCTGATAGGCTAATTGACATCATTTGAGTCAATTGGAGGTGTACCTGTGGATGTATTTCAAGGCCTACCTTCAAACTCAGTGCCTCTTTGCTTGACATCATGGGAAAATCAAAAGAAATCAGCCAAGACCTCAGAAAAATAATTGTAGACCTCCACAACTCTGGTTCGTCATTGGGAGCAATTTCCAAACGCCTGAAGGTACCACATTCATCTGTATAAACAATAGTACGCAAGTATAAACACCATGGGACCACGCAGCCGTCATACCGCTCAGGAAGGAGACGCGTTGTCTCCTAGAGATGAATGTAATTTGGTGCGAAAAGTGCAAATCAATCCCAGAACAACAGCAAAGGACCTTGTGAAGATGCTGGAGGAAACCGGTACAAAAGTATCTATATCCACAGTAAAACGAGTCCTATATCGACATAACCTGAAAGGCCGCTCAGCAAGGAAGAAGCCACTTCTCCAAAACCGCCATAAAAAATGCAGACTACGGTTTGCATCTGCACATGGGGACAAAGATCATACTTTTTGGAGAAATGTCCTCTGGTCTGATTAATCAAAAATACAACTGTTTGGCCATAATGACCATCATTATGTTTGAAGGAAAAAGGGGGTTGCTTGCAAGCCGAAGGACACCATCCCAACCGTGAAACACGGGGGTGGCAGTATCATGCTGTGGGGGTGCTTTGCTGCAGGAGGGACTGGTGCACTTCACAAAATAGATGGCTTCATGAGGAAGGAAAATTATGTGGATATATTGAAGCAACATATCAAGACATAAGTCAAGAAGTTAAAGCTTGGTCGCAAATGGGTCTTCCAAATGGACAATGACCCCATGCATACTTCCAAAGTTGTAGCAAAATTGCTTAAGGACAACAGTCAAGGTACTGGAGTGGCCATCACAAAGCCCTGATCTCAATCCAATAGAAAATGTGTGGACAGAACTGAAAAAGCGTGTGCGAGCAAGGAGGCCTACAAACCTGACTCAGTTACACCAGCTCTGTCAGGACGAGCGGGCCAAAATTCACCCAACTTATTGTGGGAAGCTTGTGGAAGGCTACCTGAAACGTTTGACCCAAGTTAAACAATTTAAAGGCAATACTACCAAATACTAATTGAGTGTATGTAAACTTCTGACCCGCTGGGAATGTGATGAAAGAAATAAAAGCTGAAATAAATCATTCTCTCTACTATTATTCTGACATTTCACATTCTTAAAATAAAGTGGTGATCCTAAATGACCTAAGACAGGGAATTTTCACTAGGATTAAATGTCAGGAATTTTGAAAACTGAGTTTAAATATATTTGGCTAAGGTGTATGTAAACTTCCGACTTCATCTGTATATGCCCTCCAAGAAAGGTCGGTGGACCAAGATTCAAAGGTCAGATTAGGAAGGAAGAGGTGGTGTTTGCTCGATTGCACTTAGGACATTG